AGCATTAAAACAATGAATTGTAGATAATTAATCTAATTAAGTCTCTTCCTGAAACTTGTTATCAGATTATGTCGTCTTAAATCTGTCCAGTACGTGATCAAAAATGAATGTCACAGATGTTTGATGGACAGCAGTAGCTAAGCTGGTAGAGTGTTGGACTAAGTATAGGTAGACCTACCAAGGTAAATTGTGTGATTTAGTTAGTTTTCTCCTGCTGTTGTATGTGGCAGTTTGTTTTTCACAGGTAGCAGAGAAATGGACTGGTCTGTGTTGTCAGAGTTTTATCATAGTGCAAGACACTTAAAACCTATCATTGCTCTGGGTGATATGTGATGGACCGGCTGTATGTTGTTCAAAGGGACAGCAACCAGCTGTTACAGGATGATAAACTCGACAAATAAACGAAGATGCAGGCCCATTATGCCACTTGTACAACCCTGTGTGACCTTATTGTTGTGATGGGTGACTATGATTAACAAACAAACTCTCTAGTTTTCCTGTGCAGAGCCAATGTGTATAATATTGATCCCAGTTTCTCTGTGTACAGAGAGGGAGGATGAAATGTTGTGATCACTACACACTTGATAGTGTAAACAGACACAATGTTTCCATCTCACCATATCAATTTTCATGCTCCATTGAACACCACCATTAGTATCACTATGTTTTTTAAATAGCTTTTACTGTCATAAGTCATTAATTACATTTGATACAAAATTGCTTACCTCGTTAGATTTTCAATTTGAAGAGTACAATTTCTGTTGAGAAAGCCAATTACATATCTCACATATGATATCCCAGGTGAACTATTTTGGCTCCAATTTGTATCATATACATCTTTATACCTATTTTTATTCCGATCTTCAGTTCTAGTTATATTACTCTGTGCTTTATTTGAATAGTTTTGATAGCAGTCTCCTCAGTTTGTATGCTGTAATATTGAACAGGATCAGGGACCTCCACTTGTAGTAAATGGTTGATCAATAGCTAGATGGTGTCGGTTAAGAGAGATTGAAGAAAAATAAAATATCGGGAGTAGCATATTATTACCATTGATAACTGAAATAAGATTAATTTATAGGAAGGTGTTGATTTGAATACAAATCTAGCAATACATCTTGTTAACAAAATTATAAATTGTTTGAATTTATTTTCATGCCCCGAGATGGAAGATCAGGAGCAAATTGTTTTTGTGCTGTCTCTCTGTTTGTCTGTTGTCAATTTTAATCTTGTTCATAACTATCGAACCGTGAGAGGTAGGGCTTTCATATTTGGTAGGTGTGTTCCTTGTGATAAGATCTTTGAGGAAGTACCAAAACTTTTCACCAAGTGACCTTGACAGTGACCTTTGATCTAAAATTTGATATGAAAACGTTGCCCGGGAAGAACATACCTCCTTAATCATACTTTGATAGATAGGTTTGTTGATTTCATCGTCCCAAGAATAGCAAGGGTAATTTTGAGGCAAGGTCTCCTTCCAGTAGCTGGTGGTAACCTAATTATTAGACAAACAGGAGGCATATTTGGAGCAATAATGGTAAAGTGTAGTCTTGCAAAGGAAACAACCACAGCTGTACAGACCTGTCCATTTCTCCACTTCCTGAGAAATCACATGGATTTTTAAGTGTCAACCTTCTCTCCTTGGATATTCACCAGACGTTATAAAGGCTACATTTTACCTACAAGGCTATCGCATCATAGAGTAAAAACGTAACACTAATTAAAAAAAGAAAAGAAAACTGCTCTTACTAAAGTTGAGAATACCTTGATCTGTTACTGTAGTATGTAAGAAGAGGTGAGACCTAACAAGAGTAAGGTGCATGAAAAATAAAGGGAGATAATTCTGTTCCCCATGGTTATAGTGTTGCTACGTTTTTTATCTTTCCAAAATACATTCAAATACTTGTTTAGAAATGGTTATAAACTCTAGGTTGGTAGTTTGTATATGAAATGAAAAAAAATGTATTTTCATTTGTCCTTCTTCGGCTTAATCAAATGTAGTTTACAATAAAAACCAATGTATAATCAGTAACAGTAGATATTCCTGTATGTGTACAAATTTATACCTGATCATTAGTGATGTATATACGCCCTGAATAATAAAATATGCAGAAACACAGTACTATGTATGACTGTGAATTGTTATAAATAGTTATATGACCTGATTTATAATGATGATTATGTGATATCTTGTACCATTATTGATTATATATACTGTACAGTATACCGTAAGGATCATAAAAAAACTCTCATTATACATCATATCATCTGTCATAGAAAAAAAAACTGCTTTGTAAGTTTGTTAGGGCTAGGTATGTTGAGTTAATGTACATATGGTAACTGTTCGAGTTTACAGTGTACAATGTAATACCCTGACAATCTATAGTGCTTGTAGGACAGGATCGTTAATTTACAGTGTATGTAAGATAGAACACTCAATTTACATTGTATGTATGACAGGACACTCAATTTACATTGTATGTATGATAAGACACTCAATTTACATTGTATGTATGACAGGACACTCAATTTACATTGTATGTATGATAAGACACTCAATTTACATTGTATGTATAATAGGACCATCAATTTACAGTGTATGTATAATAGGACACTCAATTTACAGTGTATGTATGATAGGAAACTCAATTTACATTGTAAATATGATAGATCAATCCATTTACAGTGTATGTATAACAGGACCATCAATTTACAGTGTGTGTATAACAGGACCATCAATGCTATGTATGAATATATTATATGATAGGACAATAATGTATGTTTGGATAACAATTTCAAGGTCGAACATATTTTCATAAGATCCCCAACAGTACAAGAATATACCCAAATATGGCATGACCTAAGGACTCAGGCATGGAATTTTGAAGACACCTGGAGGTTAATTAAGCAACGTCCAGGTGGAGTTCTTCCGATTACTGCTTATATTTCACTGGTATCAACTGTGCCTAGACCAAGCTACTATAATAAGTTATGTTCGACCGTCAAAAACGTAGGCAGGAGATTAAGTAGGAATTAACTGTGGAATGTACATTGTATAAACGGGAAACGTGCCAAAATATTTTGATTGCTTAGTAAACTGACGTGGGTTTTCCATTGATGACTCGAATTGCCAGGCATATATGTAATACACTGTTCATACATTGTGCATGCTTGATTGTATAATTAGTTCATATAAGGAGAGGTCGACTGTTTAATGTATGGGCAAATAAAACACACTGAAAATGACTTGATTCTGTATTTGCCGTCGGTATGTAAATGACCAAATCAATTCAGCACAAATGCACGTGCTTATATTATGCATATGTGTATTTGTTTTTTTTTTATCTGATTGATCTCCTGAATGTGGCCGAACTTACGTTCATCCGACTTATTAAATTCATCAATGAATTGTACAAGAGACGTACATTTGTTGTTAGTTATAGTGTAGCCAAACAATGAATGAAAACTGCACTATACTGTTGTGAAATAAGAACCTGCTATAGGAAGAGATTGAGTGTGTATGGATGATAAGGCTCAATACCTGTAACACTGTACAGTCTAGACCTTAGCAGTTGCCTTGATGACTTATTCATGGCCAATACACTCGCTCCAGTCCAAATAACTGACAGTTCAATTATGTAGCCATGTTTTCAAGTCTCTAAACACTCCCGTAACAATACATATACTAGCTACGAAAAACAGACCCATTAGAAGTTGTTTTTTGTGTTAACTGTAAATAGCCTTTTTAAGGGCGAAATTTCATTGTAGTAACTGGTTGCTACCTTACTGAACAACATACAGAAGGTTCGTTTATTATCGTCCAATTCAGTGTAGGTAAAATGCCTTGTCAAATGGTAAAACCAATACAGCACATATGGCTATCCCGATCGCTTAGAAATAACGTACAGATTGTGTACATCTAGGCATGTGTTTCGTCCTTGGGAAAATGCCTGTGGTAGTTTACAATCATTATGGTAAGGAATGCTTCGATACGACTGTCTCCATTCCTAGATACACAGACTAATCTGCATAGATCGTTGTGATTTTCATAGGGAGGAAGTTACACTACTGATGTTGTGAACGGGATATCCCACACATATTTTTAGTCGTGCGTCATGAATGGACAAGTACTTCTGAAGGAGGATCTGTAATCCTTCCGACTTTGAACGCAGTAAACATTGATATGTCTGTGTTAGATACGTAAAGAAACCACATCTAGGACACTACTTCTTTAAGATTGACCCATATAATAGCGTATTACGTCATATCCTTTTTGTCTATCGTCGGTTCGATATCACAAGCACTTCCGCCCACTTCTGGTCATTAATGTGGCTAACAGGAAATCTTAATTCAGTAACTGATACAATATGCCAAACATTGGGGAAAAATCTGCCTTATTCAGCTGCTTTGTCATTTTTATGAAATGTCGAAAATTCAGCTGGTTTAAATGATGGACACAAGACACTCAATGTTATGTTTCCAAAAAGCAATACAAACTACTATTTGCAGTGTTAATCGTGATCCATCTTATTCAGAAATTTAGTTACTGAAACATTTTCATTCATTTCGATTAGAAAATGATATCAGTGTATGTATAAATTTTCTAAAAGCACTGCCATGCAGATAAAACTATATGCGTGACGTTTTTCACGTTCACCACTAGTGCGTTTTTCACATTTATCACACGCAATCGAAAGTTGGGCCAGTATTTTTTCCTGTATTGTTGTGCTTTACTAGTATTTTCATAGTTAATGTTTCACTTAAAAGTCCCCAGATATCGTGGTCCTCAGTCGATTTACAGATTTGTAGAACTTGCTCTGTTGGTTCAAAACAATGTAAGTTGTTAAAATCACAGGGGACTAACTCAATTGAAAAGTTCTTTTAGAAGTTGAACTAGCCACGATACTTGCACACAATCTATTAACACAACTTTCTGTTTTACGACTTCAAACAAGAACAACTCTTTATCAAAATTTTTCTCATTGTTTATGCAATTTCAGGATGGTTTCGTGGAATTCTACGAGAAAGGAAACGCGCGGCAGAGAGACAGTCCGTGGGACAACATATCTGGTGTGATAAAGTATGGCATGTTGGGCGCGATGGGAGCTGTGGCCCTCGGGGCATTCCTTACACAGAGAACGTGAGGGACCAGTTGTCATAGTAGCTGTTAAATGAAAATTGTGTATCAGAAAATGCAGCACGGACAATTTCGTGTGAAATAAAATGACAATGATATACCAGCCGTTGGCAGAAGATAATCCATAAATGGATACACAAGTGTCTCCATGATATCAAATGACAGCGCTCCAGTGTTGTGCATATGTGGCATGCACACGTATGATGATATAAATGTTTCAGATCTAGTGCTGACTGGATGATATTTTGCCCAACTGCATTGCAATGCTACACGGATTACCATTGGTGGACCTTTCCGTTTTGTGTTGTGTGGAAAGATTTCATTGGTTAATTAAGGATGTTAACCTTTGACATGAAATATTGGCAGCAAATGATTTTGATGTTACTATCAAAATCGATGTATGGATTGTTTTAAATGTTTAATGTAACAAGGAAAAGTCAAATACGGATTTTGAAGTAATAGCAACTATCACATTAGAGGAATTCTGCCATCAGGTGGGGTCGTCGCTTAGGTAGAATACAATCAAATCCCATTATACATTCTCAAAAATGAATAGTGATATTGGGATTGAAATACGATTTTCTTGGTAATGATTTTAAAAAGTAATGTTTTTATTATTATTTTGAAATTGAATTAGAAAGCTGTAGAAAGTTTCAAATATTTAAAGATATATATGAAGTTGATGTTTGAATTTTTTTTTGCGGAAAATTATTAAACTGTACAAGTTATTGTATCATTGTATATCAAAAGTGGCGGTCTATTCAAACGACAGTTTCTCATAATAATGATTTTGCCTTCTGCATATTTTGGTTAATAACATTCACATAAGATACAAATAAACATCTTCTGTAAACAGTAAATATAAATGGCTAAACATTCTTAAGTCCAGTTACTTTTATGACCAATACATCGTACTATTTTTTCATTTTTGTGCACACCTTCAAATGTATTTTTGCATGGATTTGTTAATTAGTTTCACCTGTTATTACCTCCCTTGTATTATTTCAATGTTTCCAACATATTTGTAGGTTTTGTTCATATTTAGTTTATACTGTGCTTAACAGTCGAGGCTATGGTTGTTTGTTTGGCACAAAAATTGTGCATTGTATGTGTAAACATGGAAAAGTGAAAGTGAATTGTAGGCGTGTATGTATGATTGTCAATTACAGCCTGAATACTTGCTGCGATTTCAAATGTAATATCATTGCGTTAACTTTGTTTTTAATTTCCTCTTATTTCACTGAATGACGAACACACCTAGATAATTGTCATCAAACCATTATATGGAATTGACCAATTTCGAGTTTTCCAGAGGCAATTAAATGATCATAATTTTCTTTTGTTCCGCATAAATTTTATATCTATTTATATTTACATATGTTGAATATTCATAAGCAGCTTCTGTGTATGCCTGAACATCAAATGTTAGTCATAGAAAATACAAATGTACAAGCAGGCTAGGAAAAACAGTCAAACAATTTAATTTCAAAACAGGAAGTAACGTCGGACATTTGAAGTAAAATCGAAACGTGAAAGACAGAACTTTGCTTTGGATAACTAATTCCTTACTTCATAATCGACTGAAGTCCCTGGCGGACACCTGTGTATACACCAGGTTCCGAGATAAATACACGTATTTCGGTTACTGCGACATATAGATATACCGTGAAAAGGAAGATTTTCAGAGCATGCATCGTCTAGCTTACTACGGCCCGTTCTAAATGCATAAATATTTGGTATTTAACATGGACAAGAATATAAAAAGAATAAGATAGAAATAAAAGAAGTCTGTTAAACATTTCGATGGGCTTAAATGTTCATTTACTGTCATATGCTTCGTTTATTCTTCGTCTTTTGTGCGTTTCTCTGTCATTGAATGACGACGGGACCAGTTCTAAATGACTAAGGAAGTTCATTGTTCATTTGTTACTATAAATAATACTTTGGCAGCAATGTAGACATCATACAAAATGATATTATATCAATAAGGTACGTATACTCTTGAAAAATCTAGATATCTGCTGACAGCTAAGCGTTGTGGATCGAAACTAGTATGGGATTTAAAAGTGAAGCTTTTAATAAGAATCTTTTCTCTAAAATATCAAGTTTTAGACATAACTATTTTTTAACTGTCAACTATATACGCGTAACAGTTAAATACGAAAGAAATATTCGGATGATTGAGACGAATGCATATTATGTGTAAACCGTTTATGAGTCAGTAACATAACTATGTAGAAATACTCAGTTCTCGTGGCCCCCAGATTTGTCGGTAATGAGCCCTGTTTACATGTAAGAGGAGAAAATTGGCAGGAATCTATGTCCTACCTGGCAAACTATATCACTCGAGATTCCATCAGCTCTGCTGTAACATTTCGTTACATCACACACTACTGGCTTAAGAGTGTTGCATATATGTGATATAGGTATGTTCTGTCGTATTTATAGAACTTTTGTAGTTTCGACATCTTGAACATGCAAAAAGCATCATTTTAAGTCTGAATTGCTGAATTTACAATACGTTTCATTGTTCATCTTTGCCGATCAGAGGCTAAACAAAAATGCTTCTGAAACAAATATATTTGTGTCCCTATAATATCACCATACTTTCTTTACTCAATATTGTGAAAACACATTCAGTTCATAGTAAAGAAGCTAAGCCGTTTCAAGATAATGATTGAGTGGACATGCTATTTAAGCTTGTCTTATTTTACACTGTATCTGTCCCCGGGGTTTTTACAAAAGTAATCAAAGTTTGCTTTTGGCACGTTTTTAAATGTGTAAATGTAATATAGATACTTATTTGAATAAATAAGTATTCGTTCAGTCTTTTCTCTTCTAATTTATAACTTTTATATTTGGAACGTCATTGTGAACTTAAGAGAATAAGTTTTACAAGCTGCTTGTTCGTCATATTAAATATGCTGGCTTAAACTTGACAGCTTATGGTTGATATTGAAAATATTCACTTGAATATAATGTTTGATGTGAAAACAATCTATATGGTATTTGTATCCTGAAAGACAGACCCATTTAATCACAAATATATTCTAGAGTAGAAATCGTAGATGTTTTCCAAGTGTTAGATGATAGGAGGAAAAGAACACTGAACTGTCTTGTAGGTAATTCGAAACCCAAAGTTAGATTACATTTAGATCTCTTATGATTTTCTGTCAACATTTCTTTTAGGAAACATTGCATAGTCTCCTGTTTCTTACAATAAAACTGTTTTATGTTTCATTTTGGTTAAATCATAATTCCTCATTAAAATGTTATATTTCATATTGTTGGTTACATCATACAAAATTGTTATTTGAGAATCCGTGTTTTTTGTATTATTATTCATGAATTATTTATTTTTTTCTTAATCATTTTGATTGAAAGAAATCTATTTGAGATAATATTGCTTGTATTGTAAACGGGACCAGTTTTGGTAAAGGAGACCTTTATCAAAGATTAATTGTAACAAAAGAAGGATTCGTTTTGTGTATGTGTATCAATACCTGACAAATATACTACCTTGTCGTATCCTTTTCTCTCTATAACCAGCTTCGTGGAAGTTTGATGGTTTTAATTAAGTATGACATTCGCTGAAAAATGAATGCTTTTTGTATTTGTAGATGAAGACTGATCTTTAACCCAGAACGTTTGTGTTTTGATTTCATTTTCAATAGAAAATAATGCATTTATTTTAAAACCATAGTAATGAACTCATGATTGATCGACGTGAAACTCTTTTTTGAAATCAAGTATTGTTGTTTTCAAGAAGCTGTATTGTATATTGTCTTATATTCTCTAGTCATTTTTAACGTAAAAGAAAGGTAAATTGTATTACAATTCCTTTAATACATTGTATTTATTCAAAGTATTGCACATTAATTCGATTACAGCATTGTATGTTCACATCGTTGCGTTAAGTATCTTTAAACGTAATACTTTGTAACAATACATAAATGTAATACATTGTATTGGCGCATTGCTTTGTCTTTTCCAACAATGAATTACATTACTGCAGATTCGTGATAAGTGAATGTACATTTATTCTGAGATACCGAAAAATACCAATTCTGTTGCTTCTATGGCAAATTCATCGCTCATAGTAGTGAAAGCAGATAGAAAATATGTTCGAACATTTATCTTATATATGCTTCCATCGCAAAAAGCTCAGTTATATATGATCCAATTAGGTTTCCTAACCATTTGCCTCAGAACTTTTTTGTCTTAACTGACGAAAAAGATCAAATGTAAACAGATATTATTTATTTTGTGTTACTCGCTAATCCTTTTAAATCAGTTTAAAGTCAGTTTATTTTGATTGAATTCCTGTTGATGGTCACTTCTAATCATTCAAAATTGAATAGAAAAAGTATGTATTCTAGCGAATTGTTCTGGTAATAGATATGCTTACCAAATTAATACTAGAGAAACAATTAACATTTCATGCGTTTACCCAAGGTCTCTTTGACCAAACTGATCTTAGTTTGCAATCGTTGAAACGTGTTATTATTGTATGTTGTGAGTTGATAAGGGTGCTATACTGTTTATCGTTCCATTGGCTCCTAAGTTCATGCGTTCGCTATTATTGTGATCAGCTTTATCCATATGATAGGAGTCGAGCTCGCTATATCTCTTACTGTTTAATATATCTTACATACTTGCATTGTATAATGCATAATGAGCTCATCTTATGCATAGTTTGAATATTGTAGTTTTTTTTCTCCTTTTTTTGACAGGTAAGATTAAGTCCCTATATAATGATAGGGCATTCTAACGATAACGCTGTGAATAAAACTTTTATCTACACAGATTAGTATTGTTGAAAGATGACATGTCTGAGATATTCATAAACAAGAAGTCTTGGTTGTGTTTTCATTCTTAATATCAAATTCACAGATTTTTTTAAGAGAAAGGAAACTTATTCGAAATATCTATATTTTTCATTTACGAATACAAAGACTTGTATGTATAATGTGTATGGTGAAACTTATGTCGAAAGAAAGAAATTTCTGAAAGCCACGTGTATATACTGTATGTTTAATATTAAACTGTCATGAGGAGTCGTTCAAATTATCGATGATAATTTTAAAAAGTTGTTGGATATATCATTCTTTTGTTACTGTGCGCGACGATATTGTATATTGAATAAAACGTAAGAAATTCTACCTTACCTAATTTGACTTGTCTTTGAGCAGAAGTTTTGACAACGACAGTACTAAACATGCAAATTGAAACACCTACAAAATGGGAGGAAAACACGAAATTTGAGCCTCTCGAGAAAAAGATTCCATACCGTGTTTTAAAGAAGTATGCGTTTGCTGTACCGCACGTAGATTTTTAGCATATTCTATATTATTCTCCCATCTTCAAAATTAATTTCATAAACGAAAGATCTCCTGTCCCAATTTTGATACTTTCTATATAATCTATTATGTGTTCAAATTGTCTTCTGTGGTATATCTGGTTATTTGGTTTGCTACCTAAATCAAGCGTCCGATGGAGTATGGTAATATCTTGTTCAGTTAGGTATCGTTTTTTAACCGTTTTAAAGTACGCTGTCTAAAATATGATCAGCATTTTCGACGACTGAAGTTATAAGCGAAAAAAGTTCATTATAATTTATTCGACCACTGAGTTTGCAGAAAAGTATATAACAGCTTTCAATACTAAATTAGAATTAGATACAGCCAACATGTTATAAATCTGGAATTTATCTCACAGTTGACATCGGCGAGCCTCTTATCAGTTATTCACACCAAATACGAGATCATGAACTTAACTGTTGAAATGGCACATAATTCAACTTCGTCCAATCAATTTTACCTTATGTTTGGCACGATATAAATATTTTTTTAAAACTGAATTTACACCATGTTTAATGTAATTAATATCAAAGGGGGAGTTACGTACATGTAGTCGCCTCCAGTCATCATATCAATTGAAATCTACTAAGCTTACTTGTGATTGTAATTAATTCAAGGATGTCCAGCAAAACTCACGCTATTCATCGAAACAGGCATCTTTGCATTTTTTGGGATGTCAAAAGATTGCCTCAAGTACGACATCTGCCTATAATTTATTAGTGATACATGGAAAAAATGTTTGCAATACTTCTATATGTAATACATTTCCATATGAAGATCACAGTAGCTCGAGGATTTGCATTTTTCACTTTAATCATTTGGCTTCATTGATTGGGTCTTCAAAATTTCATTTAATGAATGGAGATAAATGTGTTTCGATCATGATAAATATTGCCAATGGCGTACGTGTATGGTATGTTTAGCCTTGCTGTAAACTATCACGACCGGAAATCCACTTATGAAATACGATTTTAACTAATGCTGATACTGGTGATATTATGTTTCCTCCACATGTTTTGTAATGAATGAATCCATTGTTTTGATTGCTGTAGTAATCTATGCCGATTGCAAACATAGACAATGCGCAACTTCATTTTTCACCGAAAAATTCTCATTCCTGGCATGCAGCATAAAGCCGTAGTACAAAGTGAGGATGGTTAAAAAGCAGTACTTTTTGTCCTGGATGATATCTATGAACGATAATTATCCGATTCTTGCTATCATTGATTGATAAATTGTTTAAGTAAGAAATCTACTTTCTTCAGACACCACATAAGTCGCTTCACCGCTATAACAAGAGACTATCATGAATTTTCTTTCGTCGTCTTCGATATGCTCTTCATATATTTAGATTGGTGCGTTTTTATTTTGTTTTACAAACTAATTATCACATGGTTAACAAGTGCTTTGTCTTATGAACGATTTCGCATTTTATTATGTGTAGCATACCTCAAGTTTCTGTTGTATGTCATTGTAAGTTATGTTTAGGACTCTGATCATATAGCTGTTTAGTCCGTCTAGGACAGTAATGCTTTATCATACATCTGCTTCATCCTTCTAGGACTCGTCAGTGATGTTGTAACATACATCTGCGCCATCCTTCTATTTCTCATCAGCGATGTTACATTAAACAGATTTTTCGTCCTTCTAGGTCTCGTCAGTGGTGTTACAGCATACAGTTCGGCCTTCTAGGACTCGTCAGTGATGCTCTAAATTGTTGAAACGTATGAGGCGACCGAGTAGAAATCCAAACTGGTCGAAATCTATTTCAAAAACATCTACCCTAAGAGCAACACATTTTGCCTTCTCCGCTTTGTATCTGCATGCATGCATTCACATATCGTGAGGATGTTAAACGTTTAACATACAAAACATTCAGTCAGAGGTGAAGGCCAGTACTGGTTTGTTTTGGCAGACTCTTATCTGATATTTGCCGAGATGTTTTGATCGACAATGTACATAAAATATTTGGATCCTAGGGAATCATCCGGATATATCCCTGACTAGCAAACGGAAAAAAACCAACAACTCTTCCTGTCTCATTTTATCGTGGGCGGATTCACATAATTTAGCGTACCAGTACGTATCTCTCGTCGATATCTGTGTCATACGCTTATTATATCTTTTCGATTGCTACAAATACAAACCAAACCGTTGTCATATTCATTGGAATTGTGATGAAAAAGAAATTTTCTTCACAGTTTTATAGACGATTTCAATGTTGAGAGGCGTACCACAAGCCGATATGAACATATTTAATTATCAAGATATCCTTAATCACAGTTCTTTGTTTATACCACTATATATCAATAAATAATTTAACAACTAAACGTTTGGATATCTTCTAATTACAAAGAAAGCCAACATTCGCTAAGATTTATTGGTACGATGACCAGGAGAGGCCAATAACATTATCAGATGGGGAGACCAAAATCCACCAGAATTTCATTGTTAAATGCTAATGATAACCTTTTAGCGAATGAATCCTTGCTTTAATTCTTTTGAATACTTAGAATGGCTAAAATGCTAATGATAACCTTTTAGCGAATGAATCCTTGCTTTAATTCTTTTGAATACTTAGAATGGCTAAAATGCTAATGATAACCTTTTAGCGAATGAATCCTTGCTTTAATTCTTTTGAATACTTAAAATGGCTAAAACGTCTGACTAACGATAGCCAGTATTTCAATTAGAGCCTTAACAGCTGTATGATGTAGTTAAAATCATCATTTGACTCCACTGGATCAAAATCTATATTTGCGTTTACAGGCGTTATAAAGTTTTGTGTCTTATGTTACAATCTTGCAGCCACATTCGTTTATCTGTTTTGTACTACTCTCTGTACCGGCTTACGTTATTTCTAATTTTGTTGGCTTTCCGCGAATACGAAATATTACATGAACACTCAAAATCAGTTGCCGTTCTTTTTGTATACATGTATCTTGCCATAACGAAAACCCACGCGCGTTCATATGCGTTTAGTCTAAAAATAGCTGGATTGCAGAGTTGCGTAGGAGTATGTTTACTAAGTTCATGCAATCCAACAGGTGTCTTGTGTTTGTAACAGAATTTTACAATCTCATCTATTTCCGTAAATAGCGCGTTGCAGACAGCTGTTGTGGGCTGTTGTAACAGGAGCATGCGCAGCCTTATATTTATATAGTAAATTAAATAACCGATTAATACACGTACGTGCATTTACATATCAAACTGACAAAAACGTAGTGGCATTTATCTTACTTATGAATGCATACTGGGTTTCAAAATATTGCGAAGATGAAAATAAGTGATATATAGGTTATAGACATAATTTTCGAAGATCAAATTATCTTGGCTTTATCAATACCTTGAAGAAATGGAAATGAAAGCACTAGAAAAGTTACAGCATTGAATTTCTGAAAGTCTCCCAAATTTAAATTGCGTCTTCCGTAAATGAGATTTTTGAGAAAATCTTTCACAAAATCAATATTTAAGACCTCTATCTTCTATTTTGGATTCTCCATACTGTTGTTATTATACTAATGACATGTGGTAAGGTGTATCGAAACACCCTCACATGCGACAAGATTCCAGAATAAAAATACGCAACTTCAACAACTTAACGAGTTAAAGTAATTTTCATATGTAAATTCATGTACAGCTCACTATCTTCATTTCGTCCTTCTAGGACTCATTAGTGATGCTACATCATACTGTTGTTTTGTCCTTCTGGACTCATCAGTGATGTTACATCATACACTGTTTAGTCCTTCTAGGATTCGTCAGTGATGTTACATCATACAGCTGTTCCGTCCTTCTATGACTCACCAGCGATGTAACATCACACAGCTGTTTAGTCCTCCTAGGACTCGCCAGTGATGTTACATTACATAGCTGTTTAGTCATTTTAGGACTCGTCAGTATTGTTACATCATACCGCTGTTTAGTCCTTCTAGGTATCGTTAGTGATGCTACATCATACAGCTATTTAGTCCTTCTAGTTCTCGTTAGTGATGCTACATCATACAGCTATTTAGTCCTTCTAGTTCTCGTTAGTGATGCTACATCATACAGCTATTTAGTCCTTCTAGTTCTCGTTAGTGATGCTACATCATTCAGCTTTTTTTGTCCTTCAAAGACTCGTTAGTGATGCTACATCATACAGCTATTTAGTCCTTCTAGTTCTCGTTAGTGATGCTACATCATACAGCTACTTTGTCCTTCTAGGTATCGTTAGTGATGCTACATCATTCAGCTTTTTTGTCCTTCAAAGACTCGTTAGTGATGCTACATCATACAGCTATTTAGTCCTTCTAGTTCTCGTTAGTGATGCTACATCATACAGCTATTTAGTCCTTCTAGTTCTCGTTAGTGATGCTACATCATACAGCTACTTTGTCCTTCTAGGTCTCGTTAGTGATGCTACATCATACAGCTATTTAGTCCTTCTAGTTCTCGTTAGTGATGCTACATCATACAGCTACTTTGTCCTTCTAGGTCTCATTAGTGATGCTACATCATTCAGCTTTTTTGTCCTTCAAAGACTCGTTAGTGATGCTACATCATACAGCTATTTAGTCCTTCTAGTTCTCGTTAGTGATGCTACATCATACAGCTACTTTGTCCTTCTAGGTCTCGTTAGTGATGCTACATCATACAGCTATTTAGTCCTTCTAGTTCTCGTTAGTGATGCTACATCATACAGCTACTTTGTCCTTCTAGGTTTCGTTAGTGATTCTACATCATACAGCTACTTTGTCCTTCTAGGTCTCGTTAGTGATGCTACATCATACAGCTACTTTGTCCTTCTAGGTTTCGTTAGT